ACATATGCTTATTTACATAAAAATATATATGAATTTACTAAATATAACTATATATTTATTTATATTTACATTTTAGACACATTTTTCATGTTTACATATATATATATATATATATAATAAATATATATATATATATTTATGTAAGTTAACTCCGCTATTTAGCATTAATGTTGTTCATTCATTTCAATGTTTTTTAACACTTTCAGTGTTACAATTTAAATGTAATTATATATTGATTTATATTTTAATATTTAAAATTTTTCCCAAATATTTATGTAAATGAGCTTGTATAAATGCAAAAAAAATTATTTCAACCTTGTTAACCTTTTGTATTTTGAAAACCTTTTTGCAATCACTTAGCATTAAATGTTGTTGTAATGTTTTTGAAATGTTCTTCAATGTTAAAATGTAAATAATATAACTAGATATGCATTTACATTTAAAAATATTTATAAATGTATACACCCATTTTTCATATATATATATTCATGTAAATGAGCTCATGTGCATGCAAAATGTATAAAAAATGCATCTTTAGTTAATCTTAATCTTTTGTATAAATATTTTGTTTACCTTTTAGCATTAAGCATTGCTTTAATGTTTTTTAAACGTTTTTCATTTTTTGTTTTGAACATGCAGAATGAATAATGTCGCTGCGAGATCTAGTGAGATGCATTCAAATTCTGCACAGAAATCTGTTATAAACAGATCCAACAGCGCTGACATAGAAAACCAGAAAGGCTAACTGTAACCGTGGTGTTACGGCATAAAAATTCGAATGTTTCGAATTTAAGCTCTTTTCAATGTCTTTCACACAACTATTTCTAGCACTTTAAATCTCTAAAAATGATCAAATTGAAAAAGTATTTTTAATGGGATGACCAAAATATACTTTATATAAAAAACAACAACATAAAATTACCACTATAACCAGTAGATGGCAGCAGAGGAGCACTTATTGGCTTATTAGTCATTCATTTCTACTTTTTGCTTTATACAGTATTTTGAAATTATAAAATCACTGTTATAAAATATCAAATCATCAAGAAATCAAATTTTGTCAACGTTTTTTGTGTGTATGACGTAAGAAAAGTCACAAAGTGCCTTGAAAAACAAACTTTTCTTCGATTTGTGACCGAATCGCACATAATGTGTTCCTTTTACAATCCCTGATGTTGTCGGTCAGTTACATACTGTATATAATACTATAGTAGAATAGTCTAGAACAGAAAACATTTTGCACGTTACTGTTGTTAATAAAAGTACATTTTGTACGCTTCGCAACTCAAGCTCAGTGCTTTACTGTCAAATGTGTATTAGCAAAAAAATAAACGTGTAATATTATTAATGCAAAACAATAGTAATTTTCTGATTAAATCGTCTTTATTTTTAATGCCCCCACACCCTTAGCTGCTCCTGGAGCCACCATCTGCTCTCACATGTTAGTTACGATAAGTACGCAATCGTACGATGTGTGTTTTTCACGGCGGTGTTCAGGCGGAGTATCTGCTGAGGAAGGTCAGCAGCGTGATGCCGGTGGAGCTGACCTGCGTGGAGCTGGAGGAGTTTCTGTCGCAGGATGGTCTGAGCGTCTGGAGCTTTCTGGACGTGGTGAACGCGGCCGGCGTGAGTCGAGGACTGGATGGAGAGAGCATCGGCGTGGCTGTGGAGAAGGTCTACAGGGAGATGGTGGGCAGCGTGCTGAAGGAGGTGCGAGCATCTCATCTACTCACTGCATCGTTTGAGTTTCCATATCATAGAATACCAGGATATGCATTTATTTAGCATTAATGGGGAATGGAGAGTGAATGTAAAACAACTTGTTTGCTCACAATTAAACTCCACAGAGTAGATTAAAGGCGACAGATGTCAGGTCAGAAATAAGGTGAGAATCAAATGATACTTTAGCGGTTTAAGGTAAAGTATTAGTAAGATAGAGTCCAACAGAAAACAAACAAAGCTACACTGAGCGACAAACACAAACCACACAGCAGCACGCCAGACAGGAACAGGAAGTGATCTGCAGAAACATCATTAATTCACAACAAAACATTTACAACCATATGTGACCCTGGAGCACAAAAGCAGTGTTAAGTCGCTGGGGTATATTTGTAGCAATAGCCAACAATACATTGTATGGGTCACAATTATACATTTTTCTTTTATGCCAAAAATCATTAGGATATTAAGTAAAGATCATGTTCCATGAAGATATTTTGTAAATGTCCTACCGTAAATATATCAAAACTTAATTTTTGATTAGTAATATGCATTGCGAACTTAATTTGAACAACTTTAAAGATGATTTTCTCAATATTTAGATTTTTTTGCACCCTCAGATTCCAGATTTTCAAATAGTTGTATCTCAGCCAAATATTGTCAGATCCTAACAAATCATACATCAATGGAAAGATTATTTAATCAAATCTCAGTTTCACAAAATTGACCCTTATGACTGGTTTTGTGCTCCAGGGTCACATTTAGTGTTAAATAGTTTGTCAGTGTTGACATTTAATTATACATTCTTTAATATTTAAATATATACACCCATTTAAATGAGCTCAGACCACATACTGTAAATATATATATTAGTGCCGTCAAACGATTAATCGCGATTAATCGCATCCAAATGAATAGTTTTTGTTTACATAATACATGTGTTGTGTACTGTGTATATTTATTACGTATATATAAATACAAACACATGCATGTATATATTTAAGAAAAATATGTTACTAGGAGGGTAACGTTTCACAAAGTTCACAGTTCGGTTCGATACGATACAGTGGTGTCGCGGTTCGGTACGTTTTCGATACGGGTGGGGGGTGGGGGGGTGATTGCTTACGTCGCAATGTTGGGAATATTTCTGTTTTAAACCATGAAGGCGAGCCAATGGATATCACAAACAAGCAACGTGCAAACTTTGCGCAAGAGTTATGCCGATGAACGTCTTAATCTCAATCAAATCACTGCAGAGAGTGAAAGTAAAAACAGAAAGATGGAGCTTTCTGCATCTGACGACGAGAGACGAATCTACTTCAGCATATGCGGATAATGGTATATATAGCTAACTGTTTTCATTTATTCCCTTAATATTTCTCTTGTGGCCCGTACATAGTGACAAAAATAAGAGAAGAAATGTATTTTGTGTTAAACATGTTGTTTTTGAAAGTCGGTGCTTGAAATAGGCTAAAGCTTTTTATTTAATTTATTTTTATTGATGACTGCGGAGTTAATATTTTAATTATAGGCCTATAATTCATTGTATAATAGACCTGTTTTAAAACATTT